TCTCAAATGTGCTATTTCTTTGTAAGGTGTTTGAGACAGTGGTGGCTCTCCAGCTGCAGGCAGTCCTGAGTGATACTTTCTGGACCCATTTCAAACTGGCTTCAGAGTAGGATAAGAATTTCAGACCACTTTGCTCCATCTAGTGGATCATATAGAACTCTAAACTGACAAAGGGAGTGAGTCCCTCTTGGTTCTTTTGGATCTCTCAGCAGCCTCCAGTATTATCAATCATAGTGTCCTTTCAGATTAGCTGAAGAAGTTGGGAATTGGAGGCACTGCCTTGTGGTGGTTCCATTCCTGCCTCTCAGGTCAGTTCCAGGTGGTGTAGCTTGGAGAATGGAGTTCCTCCAAGAAGAAGCTGACTCAGGACCCCCCACAGGGCTCTATTTTCTCTCCAATACCGTTTGACATCTATATGAAGCAGCTGGGAGAGATCATTCAAAGGAGTAATGCTGGGTGTTAGCATTATGCCAATGACATCCAGAGCTATTTCCCCTTACCACCATTGGCTAATTTCTTGGGATGTCTCTTCCCTTATTGACTCCCTACAGCTGATAATGGGCTAGATGAGGGAAAACAAACTAAGGCTGAATCTAGACAAAACAAATTACCCTCAGGAGTTTCTTCGTTTACACATTCCCCATCACCCAGTAAGGACCTCTGGGGAAAATCTTCTACAAAGATCTTTCAATATTTCTGCAAACCTTGCTTTGATAAGATTAATTTCTACTGCCAGGGGACTTTTTAAGTGGTGGCCCCTAAACTGTGGAACAGTCTGTTGGGAGAAATACATCAAATATCCCAGATAGCTGTTTGTTGTGTGAATTTCTTTTCTTCTGTTGCAACCAGTACAAATTCCTATCTACAAGAAGGGGAATTTAGAATAATTTTCGTGGAAAGACTGTAATGAGATATGATTTGCTTATTGCATTTTCTCTTTCAACCAGCTCCACACCTTCCTTTGAGGCATTTCATTTAACACCTCTGCAGGAGAAAGAGTTACTTTGAATGAGAAGATGGAAGTGGAAGGGGGATTTGACATAATGAACTTGGTTACTTTTCCAAACAAATCTTTTCTTAAAGTGCAGGTTGGAAGGGTGGATCCCCATGATCTTGAAGG